TTTTTCCACTTTCCTTTTTGGGTTTTATATTAATCTATTTTTTTTCTTCAAGAAGACATATTCATAGCTTAAACAGCCCAAAGACAGACTTTCAACAGCATGGTAAGTGGCTGATTATCCTGGCACTACAGTAGACAGATTCTACAAGAGAGGACAAGTGGCTTTAGGACACTCTGGTATGAAGTTTCCCTTTAGGTTTCCTCTCTCAGCCTAAATGGGGAAACTCAGAGTCTCGGGACTGGGAAGGGGAAGAGGCACCAGCAGCTAAGGGGACACACGGGGAAGGAGCAGGCCCAGCCTTGAAGGGTGAGATATGACCATGTACTGGAGAGAGAAACTCAGCCGTGTCCCTTAGGTCCCAAGCAAGAGGTGAATGTCCATGCCAGCATACGGGCCTCAACCTCTTCCTATACTTATTTTTTCTTTCAACTATCCCCAAAGAGACCTGATGGATTTCATGAAAATCTGACCCAGAAATGATTTTCCCTCTTAAAACAATACTCAAGAATCCCTTTGCAAAGGCATTGGCTGTACAAGGCCCAGTCAGCAGAGACCAGGGTGGGAAGGTAGCACTTGGCCATGGCTGTTCAAGAGCATACCTTGTCTAGCACCTCATTTGGGTCCCTTGAGCTCTCTGAACTGTGACATCCTTGAGGACGAGAGAGTCTTATTTAGCTAGGTGTGGGACTAAAACTCAAGGGTCCATTTTAGATCATTTAGTATGGAATTCCACTAGAAATCCCTGTAGGGGCTGATAAGATGGTTCAATGGGTAAGGGTGCCAGGGTGCCTGCTGCCAAGCCTGGTGACCCGAGTTTGGTCCCCAGAATCCTCCATGGTGGAAGGAAGAGAAATGACTCCTGCAAGATGTCCTTTGACCTACACTGGCATGCCGTGGTGAGTGTGTCCTCCTAAAAATTAAAATGTAATTTTCACATACACACACACACAAACAGAGAGAGAGAGAAAGAGAGACAGAGAGAGACAGAGAGACAGAGAGAGACAGAGACAGAGAGACAGAGACAGAGAGACAGAGACAGAGAGAGAATATAGAAAATGAATGAAATCAGGGGAAAATGAGGTCAGGAAGACAAATGGACCATGGGCCATTTGTGGCCACTGGCATCTGAAGCTGCAGTGGCCTGGGCTTTCTTCTAACTTGTGACCCAGTGCTGGGCAGGTTCTCTAAGGTATAAAGCCCTCTCCATGGGGGAAGCCTGCTATTCTCAGCCTCAGATTGGTCTCACCTGGTAGGTCCTGCTCTGAGGCTTAGCCACAAATTATCGGCAAATCTACAATGCTCCTCGTTGGTGTACATGTAACAAAAACAAACTCTCCCTTCCTTTCCACTGTGGCCAGCCACCAAACTCACTCTCATGGCAGTCAGCCTCGGAAATGCTCTGCACAGCCAGAATCAGGCCATCTACCATGAAGCTGTCCAGACAGACTTTAATACAAGGCTAACGAGGGACAGGACTACAGCTATCCCATGCTAAATGTCCCACTACTTCTAAGTCATTTTATCTGCTCTTGCTGGGAGAGAGGACTTGAGATAGGGTATTGCTATATATCTCTGGCTATTCCACAGCTTCCTTTGTAGCCCAGGCTGTCCTAAACTTACTATTCTCCTGCCTTCATCTTTACTGGATTAAAGGTGTGCCCAGCCTATCATATCTATTTTCTATAATTTCTTTGTCTCCTTCGCTACCAGGTGAGGATGCCTCTACTAGCTCAGATCCACCAACAACTATCTATTACCAACTATAGGCCCAGACAGGCCCCTAATGAATGGCTGTATCTACAGAACCCCATGGACACACTTGTTGCTAAAATTCGTTCCCTAGGTGGAGCCATAAACATCTACCCTCTACTTCCATGGTTCCACTGTGTATGAGTCCACTGAAGTCCACGGTGGGGAACCAATGAGTTTATTTCCTGAGCAATGAGTGAAGGGTTATGGGAAGGAGCACAGATGAACTTAAAGCAGCCCATACTCAGCACGGATGCTAAGAGCTTGACAGAAGGAACCTCTTACCTAGTCCTTCCCTGAGTATATGCTGTAGCCCTTCCCCTAGAACCTGAGGCAAGGCCACATGCAATTAGGGCAAAATTGCAGACAACTGGGAGGGAGGGAGGCCAGCTGGATACTCAGGTGAGGGCATCATTACTCTCTCGGCCCTTCCTTCCATGAGAGAACCAAGAGCAGCACGCCCAGCAGAGACGGTCATTGGCAAACAGCCTCAGCTGAACTCATAGATGGTGGCAGTTTGGCTGGGAGGATAGTCCCCTATGCTACTTGTTCATACTGCGGGTCAATAAACTTTGTGGGGGCCTGTTAAAATCGTGGGGTGGGGCTGAGGAGACAGCTAGTAGGTAAAGCACTTTGCACGTGAGTATAAAGACTCAAGTCTGGATCCAAGAACCCACATAAAATCAGGTACAGCTTATGTCTACAATCCCAGCGTGCCTAAAGCAAGATTGGAGTGAGAGATAGGAGAATTCCTGGAAGCTCAAGCGCCAGATAGCTAGCCAAGAACACACAGAGCAAAACGGAGAGCCTGTCTCAAAACAGGTGAAAGGGAGTCTAACACCAGAGGCCACACACCATGGCACACTTCCATACTTATACACACAGATCCTTACATACACGCACATACTCGGCTTTCGGGTATCTCCTATAAGTATATGAATGAACTCTGGAGATAGCTGTTAGTAACGATGTCTTTAATTCCCAGGACACTTTGCTTCCCTCCTTATGAACTGATGTTAGAGATACGGCTGGTTCCCACCTGTGTTCAGGATAGACAAAGTTGCCAGATAAGTGATGTGTTCTGACACTACATGTGTTCCATCCAGTTCAGAGGTTTCCTTCCACTACTTAAAAACTAGATGTTGGGGCTAGAGAGACGGCTTAATGGTTAAGAACATTAGCTGCTCTTTCAGAGGACCTGGGTTTAACTCCTCTCATAAGGTGGTGTGGCTCACCATCACCTACACCTACAGTTCTAGAGGATATGACGCCCTCTTTTGGCCACCACAGGCATTGCATGAACATGGTGCACAGACACACATGCAGGCAAATTACCCAAACACATAAAATAAAAATAAATAAAATTTCATCAAAAAAGGTCTGGATATCCTTTCTTTCCCTCCCTCCCTCCCTCCCTCCCTCCCTCCCTCCCTCCCTCCCTTCCTTCCTTTCCATTTCTTTCTCCCTAACTACACCCACTGCCTCGGTCTCTCCCTGTCATATGAGACAAGCTTTTAACCATGCAGACCAGGCTTGCTTTATTTCACTTACTTTGGCTGCCTTCTCTCTGCCCGAGCTGAGATTACAGGCATTTGCCACCACTCTAGGCCTAAAACTATTTTCAAAGAGTGTACTGCCAACGCTGCAGGATTGAAGGGCAGTGTGAAGGGTTCCCAACTGTCCACTTTCCTCCTTGACTCTACTTTGTCTTCCCTGGGAAGCATCTCCTAACCAAGGCCTCAAGAACCAGCTGTAATGAGAAGTCCATGACACCTGTAGCAGCCCAGAGGCATAGCAAGAACAGAGCATGGTGTGACACCACCCAGGAAGCAGCCCCAGGGGCAGCTGGGTTCTGCTGCTGTCACCACGCCCTGATGTCTTATATGTCATCCTTCTGCCTGGCCCCTGCCACTGGGCTGCTGCTTTTCTTGGCTTTGATTTGGGGGAAGTTGAGCCCAGACATTTGGGATTGGGATAGAGATACAAGGGATAAAATAGACCAGGGTCTCTGGCCTTCCTGGGTTGCAGGGCTCCAAGTCAGAGCATCGATTGAATTCTGGCTGTCATCTTGAGCAATGAGCACCCCAGTGAACGAGACAGCCAAGACAGCTGCCTTCGTCTGCAGCTCTGGACTGGTCCTATGCTCTTCTTTGTAAAAATAGGAAAACTGAGGTCCAGACAGGCACAAGGTGCCCTCTCCAGGCAAGGCCCTCTGTTCTCTGTGAAGTCAGTTTCAAGGGAGGAAGGCCACCCATACTCTAGCATGGAACCCAAGCAAAGCTGGCCAGAAAGGAAGTGTGGCTTACTAACCCTCATCCTCCCAGCTTTGGCCCTAGGAGAGGGTCCCGGGTGAGGCTGGGGCAAAACCACGTGAGGAAGAGGTCCTGAGAGTCCCCTATAGTGTTGGAGTGTTATCCTCAGGAGAAACACATCCCCAGCTTTAACCAAAAGCTCTCAAGAGCCATGAGGGACAATCAGGGCTGGGGGAGTCGAGGGGAAACTGAAGAAAAAGCAGGAAAACAAGCTAGCTGGGCAAGCGCTGTGGCCTCTACTGCCCTCACCAGCCAGGTTCCCTTATTTCACGGGCAAAAAGATTTGATTTACATCTGCGCTGAATTTGAAAAGGCAAGCAGGAAGCTGCCAAGCCCAGCTGCCTTTTTCAAGAACCTGAGGTAGGCAGAGATCAGAGGCCGGGTGAGAGCCGAGAGCGAGTTAACGCTGGCAAGGTGCCCGGGCTTTACTGCACTGGATCACCTTCAGCTGTCAAATATTTGTACTTATCTCCATTATACAGATGTAGAAACTGAGGCCCAGAAAGACACCACAACCAACCCAGCCCTTACAAAGCTGAGACTCAAACCAAACCAAAGTTGGCCTGGGGCCGGGGCTGCTGACTTCTCCCTTGTCACACTCCTCTCTAGGTATCCTCCTCAAATCCTCCATTAGGCTGCCCTGGCGAGCTCTGCCGCTGGACAGCATGTCCCAGAGAATCAGCCTGTGAGTACAGAGGCTGTCCCTCTGCTGGCTGTGGGGGTGATGTCTGTGAAAGAAATTCATTACTTCTGCTAGAGCTCCTCTTTTGCCTTTCATACCAGTAGAGACTGTGGCCCAGGCCATCTCCACGATAATTAGGACCAAAGTCAAGGTTCAATTTTTATAGGAAAACTGTATCCTTATGTCTGTCTCCAAGGTGATTCCTGCCTGGCAAGACCTGTTCCTCAAGCTCACCGCCCCCAGTCAACGCCACTCACCCAGAAGGCATCTCGGAACTGCAACTGGGCCGTCATCCTCCGGTGTCTGTTGTGTCAAATGCTAGCACTCCTGCTTCAAGCAGGGCTGAACGTGGGCCAGGAGCCAGAAGCGCGTCCCAGTCCTAGCCGGCTAGCCCGGGCCCTCCCTCCCACTTCCAGCCGGCGCCGTCTGAGGCAACTGCCGGAGGGAGGGAAAAGGCTCAACCTGTTTTGTTTGGGGCTAGAATCAGCAGCGAAATGAGGAAGGAGCCCTGCCCAGTGATGGAAGGGTGGGCCACGATTTCCAGCCTAGGCTCTCGCCAGCCCCAGTGATGGAGGAGGCCGCAGACTGAGGCCCAGGGCAGGCAGCCCAGGTGGCAGGCAAAGGCTGGGAAAGAGGCAGGATGTGCACAGGCCAGGCAGGCAGGCAGCCTGGGGCCTGCACAGGAAGATTTGTGCAACCTCCCCCAGGGCAGGCACAGGGCTCTAACCCACAGGAAGTTGAGCTGCCGCCGTTTCTCCTGCACAGCCCCGCCTTCCACCTGCCACCCTGCTGCCTGCTCAAGCCCTGGCCAGGTTTAGCTTTCGAACCATCAAGTTAGGAATCCAATGGCTGATAACTCACCCTCGCAGGCCTCAAGAGGTTAGGTTCTTGGGGTTTCACCCAGTTTAAGGATACTCACCATTCATTCCAACCTTAGCAGTGCATACCCTAGACTAGGTTCCACCCTCAAGTTGCTCACGGCACAGGGCAGACTCAGCTGTGGTCCAGGGGCTATGAGAACGGAGAGGTGGGGTGAGCAGGTAACCAGCTAAGGACTTCAGCCTGACGAGGCTTGGGTCCTGGTCCCCTGTGCAAATCTTCACCCATGCCATCTTCAGTTCATAACTGTGATAGACAGAGGGAGACAGGAGTCTGGAGACTCAGGCTCAGCCTTTGTTTAATCTGGACTCTGTAATTTGGACTTCCTTCAGTAGTGGAAGGTTGATTGACCTAACTCAGAGCCTCAGACCTCCCCATCTGCCACCTCCAGTCTTTGAGAAAGTGTTTCGTATCAAGGATACCTCTGGAATTTCTCCTTTGTAGGGCAGGCAGGTCCTGGGGACCACTATCCAGAGACAGGGTTTGCCCACTCAGCAGAAGAGGCTTCTGGGAGTCCTGAGCCTGGGGTGGGCTGGTGAAAAGAATGAGTCAGGGATTGTCCACAAATCACCACCCTCGCCAAGGCTTACCTTAGGACCAACTGGGTTGATCAGACAGCTGAGCTCCCAAGTGTAGGTTACACGTGCCAGGGCACACCCAGACTTCCTTAAACAAACCCCAAGAATGAAACACAGAAGCCTGGTGCTGGAAGCCCTTCTCTCTAGAATCCTAGGCGTGAGCTAATGAGCATCTTTTAAAAAGAGGCTCGTGCCGGGCGGTGGTGGTGCACGCCTTTAATCCCAGAACTTGGGAGGCAGAGGCAGGCGGATTTCTGAGTTCGAGGCCAGCCTGGTCTACAGAGTGAGTTCCAGGACAGTCAGGGCTACACAGAGAAACCCTGTCTCGAAAAACCAAAAAAAAAAAAAAAAGAGAGAGACTCGTTTCTAATTTTTACTTGTGTGTATATGTGTGTGTGCTAGGTGTGTACAGAGACGGCTGTAGAGGCTAGAAGAGGGCATCAGATCCTCTGGAGCTGCCTGATGTAGGTGCTGGGAATCGAACTCTGATCCTTCAGAAGAACACCAATCACTCTTAACTACCAAGCCATCACTCCAGCCCCGAAAAAGCAGATTTAGCATCAAGATACCCAGGTTTTTCTCTTACTTGCAGGTACAGACAGCACGTGGTGGTGTAGTCACCTTGACCCCACAGGCCCTGTGCTGAGTCTACTTTATTGTTACAGATTGGCCAGCTCAACATCTCTATCTGTAAAATGGGGAGAGACCTTGAATTCAGAAAGCAGACCAGAGTCCTCTGTTACCGGGAGCCTTGTTTTAACTGGCAGGAAAAGCCCAAGCTGAATTCCTTGCTAGCTTCTCCAGGTATCTCTTCTCTCCAGTCTGCTGGGTCAGTCCAGCCCTTCTCTTTAGAATCTAAACCTCCAGATGCAGGCACATCAAAGAAAGAAAGGGAAAACCCGGGCTGTCTTCTCCAAAGTCCTGTTCCTCAGCCTACTGAGAGATCTCCCCTGGTGTCTCATTGGCTAAGAGTAGATCATACTTTAGCCTCGTCACCATGACAGCAGACCCCCCCTGGGGCTCTGATAGACAGTAGAGAAAATTACAGTGACCATGAGACCCTCTCCTCAGCTTACAGCCACAAAGAATGCTGGTGACCATGTCCTGTCAGACCCTGCTGGGATAGGTCTGCCAGGAGGGGAGGGCAGATCTGGTTTCTACCCTAATGGAATTACGGGCAAGTTCTACAAAGAGCTCTCTTTATCGGGCAGAACCAGAACACAGTGCTGTGATGAGAAGGCGGGAAATAAGGAAGGAGGGGGGTTTACAAGGACGGTTAGAGGCCTCAATGGCACTACCAGGGAGGCTGAGGGAAACTGTGGAGTCAAGAGGAGACAGAGGGAAGGAGAGATTGGATGGAGATGCCCAGGAAGCCTCAGAAGCTGGAACTATGTGTTAGCAAGCTTCCCTCCCTCCCCGGCCATCGATCACCCCAAACCTAGTCCTTAGGGAGGGAAATCTGTGCCTGAAAACTCATAGCTCTTTATTCGATGTTTCTGCTGCCTCAGAACAGAATTTGCCTTGGTGTCTAGGTAACTGTGCCCCAGGCCATTATAAGGGAGAACCCCACCCAGGCCAGGCCAGGCCAGACTGTTTGACATAGAATTTTGAACATATATCTTTGAAGAATTCAAGAGGTCATAGGTCCAAGGACTGAACATAAATTGCAAAATCAGCTGTCACAGCCTTGATGGCCACAGCCAGCCACCTGGCAGGATTGGGATCTTAAAGCCGTTTTGTCTATGCCTTTAAGCCACATAAGCAACAGAAACGTTGCCGATGGTAGACATTTGGGGATTCTTATACCTATGGGTGTTTTTATTTGCTATTTACAGTACACCCCCTTGGGCATGAATATTTGTGTAACAAGTTTCTAAATCTATTAAGTTCTGGGTTTTTCTGCCAGGTACCAGATTGGCCTGTGTTCTGTTGGGGACAGGGAAGTTGAGCCAGGCATCTTCATTTGTCATGATCAGACTCCCCAGCCCGTGACTGACAGGCAATCCCCAAGGGTGTCGCAAACCGGCCAGGATGTACTAGGTACGTGGAACAGAAGTATATCTATCGAGTATGTCATTTGTTGTCAATCTGAGCCAGGGCCAGCTGCCATGCCCCATCCTAAGATGCTACTGGGAATGATCCTAACCCTGACTTCTCCAGAAACAGCTGGATTTCTGCTGCAGGCAGAAGAGACCGAGGCAGGAGTAAGAAGAGAGGGGCAGGGGAGCAGCCCTAGGGAAGCAGTGAGAGGCTACCACACAAGAAATAAGTGTCACTGGCATATGAGATTGCTCTTGAATCACATAAAGATCAGCAAGATGGTTCAGCTGATAAAGATGTATGCCATCAAGCCAGATAACCTGAGTTCAATCCCCAGGACCCAACTGTAGAACGAGAGAACCTTCTATCATAAAATTAAAATGCCCTCTGACCTCCACATGAGTTCTATGGCATGTGCCGTAGAACTCTCATATAACACAAATACACACACACACATGCATAGACACACAGACACACATGCACACTTATACATGATTAATTCATCTAAAAACATATATGCAAAGATATATTCAAAACAAGGCTTCTCTCTATATTAACCTTGGCTTTTCTGGAACCTGATTTGTAGACCAGGCTGGCCTTGAACTCACAGATATCCACCTGCTTCTGCCTCCCAAATGTGGGATTAAAGGTGTGTATGCATCACCATGCCCAATAATATCATGTGTTTTGGAATTTCAAGACAGCAATATTGGAGCATCAGAGCCTGGACCAGCTCATCTCTGAGCGTCAGGGCTCCGTGCAGCTGAGTCTGTGCATTCACCAAGCTAGCCCTGCTCACTGATGACTGTTCTCCATGTAGCAGAGCAATGCCTTCAGCCTCTGATCTAGCCACCTTCTAGCTATTACTTTTCTGTGTTCTCAGGTCAATGGCCATTGTCATTAAACAGCCTACAGACCCTGCATGACTTAACTCAGCTGACCCCCACTGGACTTCGATTTTGTCATTTTGCCTCATTCTCTCGTATTTCAGGTCCTCTTTCCAACCGCTCTCCTTTGCTTGGGAAGTTCTTCCTGCCCCACCCTAGCCTCAACCTTGGCCCAGATACCTACCTCTCTTCAATTGTCATCTCCTCAGGAAAGCCGAGAGATGGACTGGATAGACAGAATGCGGACAGGACTGACGTTGACTTACATCAGTGTGAAGGAACTCAGAGGCTGGAGATGGGGACATTGTCATGGAGGCAGCCCTCACCGGTGAAACTGATGCCAGGCTAGAGGGAAAGTCTGAGGCAAGAGCTTAGAACCTTGAAGAGAGGAGGGGATTGGAGAGAAGGAGGCTCTGAAAACTCCCTGCTCTAATTCAATTTGGTAATGGCATTCATTTGATCCCTTTTGGTGTTTGTGCTGCCTTGATAATGCACCTCTGGGTGGGGGGGGGGAGCCTCCCTGGTGGAGCATTCCTCAAATACCAGTAGGCTGTGTCCAGCAGGGCATTCCTGATTGGCTGTTTGATCCTCAGATGGGTATGCTGCCTATGGCTGCTCTAGGATATTCCAGTATCTGACCAAGGTGGTCCTCTGTTCCCAGGGGAGATGCCTATGGTATCCTAGGTGACCCAAGGTCCATGTTCTATGTTCTGAAGCACCCTCTGCTCTGCTCCAGTGTGAAAGAAGAATCATTCCACTGTACCTGGTGAAATAAATGGAGCCTTCCTGTCTGGGGACATGAGCAGTGGAAAGGATGCTTATTGTTAGACAGCAGAGTGCACAGGGACAGAGCAACTCTGTTGAGAAGTAAGCCAGAAGCTTACAGACCAGGTGAGACGGAAGTTGAGCAGTAGCAGGATGGCCCACTGAGCTCTCACGTGTCCGGCCTGGAGCTCAGCATGTCACACACTCTGTGAGGCTTCCTTCATCCTACTCCATAGAGAGGAAAAATGGAGGCTTAGAAAGGTCAGTCAGCTTGTAGGAGTCACTTTGTCCAGTGTGGTCTTTCATCCTCATTGTGAGCGGGTGTCAAGGAACCAGGCCTAAGCAAGGACAGAAACAAGGAGTAAGGGTATCCCAGCTGAGCGGCCAAGGATCTTCCTGAGGGGGTGGGATCTTAGATGAAGCTGCTGCCTCAGGTCTTCAGTGAGGCTGAGGATATGACCGTTGGCCCTCAGACTGCGATATCAAGCACTGGGTTTCGGTTTGCCTTGGTTATACCAGGGCAAAAGTAAGGTCCACAGCCCTTCTTTGTCCCC